TTATGAGGGGGGAGCCCAAGAAGAAGGAGCAGTGGGGTTTGATCTTTATTAACGACAAGGGAAAGTGCAGGATCCCTCCAACTATTTCCCAAGCCAGAGAAATATCAAAATGTGTGTGTGTGTGTGTGTGTGTGTGTAGACAGATTGTCCTTTTTGTCACCAAGATGATCTCAGAATGTTTGTCCATTTTACTTGAGGCTGAGAGTATTCCATGCCAAGAGGGGATCAACAAATATGAATTCTCTAACTTTCTGAATGGGCAGCCAAGCTCCTATTTGTTTGAAACTGCCACCTTTTTTTCTTGGGTCTTACAGTCTTTGTTTCACATGGAACTGGACACTTGAGTTCATCAGAGATTCATCTGCATAACCATATCACCAGTATGAATAGCTATCAGAACTGTATAAAATGTCATGTATTTTTCTGTGAATTTGTGCTTGTACTTTTGAAGCATCTTGCTTGTACTTGCATCCCTTTGGCCAAATTGTATTAAACCTTTGTAGCTGTGCCTTCAACCCGGCTGATCTGGTTTAGTGAAGGCTCACCAGGCACGGACATCTCTATCTGTAGTCCTAGTAAACTCTCTACAATTTCACTACTCAAAAATTGGATTTATACAAATTAAATTAATTGGGTCAAGGATAGGTTAAGTGCACAAAAGGAGAAGCTATTTGCAACACAAAACAATCTCAAAAAGTCATTACAGTTTAACTTTTTCCAGGAGGAATTTTTCTTTCTCTTTTTTTCTTTCTTTCTGTCCTTTTGCTTTTTATTCTTCCTCTCTTAGCATATGCACGTTTTAAAAGAGAATAATAATAATTTAAGATATGTGTTGGCTTGTAACTTTCAAAATTTACATTGATATATTTGAATCCTCATTCAGTGTATTGCCACTTTCTTCGGTATACATGTTGAATTGGGGTTGTGTGAAATAGGAAACATTGTTTGTGGTCTGTAAACTATCCTATTACATTATGTAACACATTTTTTGTTTCTGGGTTATGAATGTCATTTCCTAATTGGTTCTATCATTAAAACATTAAAAAGTTTATTAAACTAAAAAAATGGATTTATGCGGGACATCCTGCAGCACGTTTTTCAATGAATATCTCATAGAGTCTCAACTAATTCAACATAGTTTGTGGCAGTCACAAAAATGAAGTTTCTGGAGTATAACAACTACTTTCAAAGTAAAACAGGACAAAACATTTAAATAGGAAATAATACTTTCAAACCAGATACAGATTTTTTTTTAAAAAAAATGTTACTTGGTGTCATGATCTTTAATAAACAACATACTGTAATTTTTTAAAAAAAACACCTTAAGTCATTACATTTGGAGAGGGGCATGATTAAAAAATAAATAAATAAGTTTAATACTTAATTAATCAATGACAACAGAAGAGCCAAATAAATGTATATGTATTTACCAGGAAAACATTTCTATCCCTGGTATATACCCATGCTGGTATTACTTAATCTTTTAAATTATTTGGAACACATGGCTGTGCTAGATAAGTCTCAAGGCATATCTACTACCTCATCAGATGGCCAGCAGGCACCAGTAACCCTGGTTTATAGAGGGGCATGGGGAATCCAGTGCCCCTCGGCCTGCATCACCCAGATCCATGTGAGAGCGATCACATGGGAGGAAGCGTGAGCATGCATGGTGCATGTGACTTCCCCCCATAGATTGTATAGCAACATGGGACCTCTCCCATGTTGCCCTACCAGTTGCATGCACCAGCTCCTCCCTCCCTCACCCACAGAGGCGACACGGCTTCGTGTGATGGGGGCCAGCCAACTCTGTAGATGACCTAGGCTAAAATTGGTGCTTGCCACCAATTTTAGCCCTTTGTGATGAGGTTCTTAGTCTAGTATTCTTTTCATTCATCCAGAATTCTGTTTCATTCATCCAGAATTCTGAATCAGATGCCTATAGAAAGCCTATAACCAGGATATAAATACAATAGCACCAACCTGCTCATATAGTCTAGCAACAGGAATTCAACAACAACAATTCTTTATTGATTAGTCAATTTTGACCATATCAAAACATATAGAACATACAAAACATACACACTTGCCCATACGTACAATAAAACCATATATGAATACGAATATGAAGACTTAGTCTGGCTCATTAGGGATTGTAACAAAGCCTTTATTTCAAATATTTGCCCATTTATGTCTCTTATTATTTCACAATTAGCTGACATAGACTCTTGAGATGGAAATACATGCGGGGAAAGCAACTCAAACAACTAGAGTTAGTTTTCTTATCATAGCTATTTGTCCCTGGGGGAGTTGCCGTGTGGCCGTTTTCCTTCGCCGTCTCAGGGTAATCTTCCGTCAGTATAGAGAATCTATTTTCTGTTGGTATTGGAGCAACAGGAATTCAAATGCATACTCGAAGAAATATGCAGGTATCATAAGTAGCAGCCACTGGCAATCCCTTGTTTTCTCTTCACTCCTTTTATAAAGCTGTTTGCCAACACCAACTAAGCTAATCCACCAGGAAATGTGGTTCTCCTAGAGCACACGTGTCAAACACAAAGGCCGCAGGCTGAATCCATTCTGCCATGTCATTTTATGTGGCCTGCAAGATCCAAAGGCTTCTTGTGCTGGTGCTGCCCCTTCTGCATTTCAAATGCAGCAGGAACCTAGTTGCAAAGGAGTAGGTTTCCAACCAGAGACCATTTCCTTACTTGCAGCGTCTGGTGTCCTGGAGATGGAAGGAGAACACGAGGAGGCAGTGGTGCTGCTGCTTTGGCTGCGTTGAGAGGATGCTGAATATGGATCACCTCTCACAGTTGGAGCTTGAATATCTGTGTGAGGCTCCAAAGGGAACAGCACATGAGGCAGATGGCAGCCTTTTCTTTCTTGTCCTCAGGCCTAGGAAGCCTTTCCCCTGAGGTCAGGAGGAGGCAGTGAATGTTTTTAAATAGGTGTGTCCATGTCTGGTTCATTCTCCCTCCTTAGCTGGAAAACAGTGGCCCTTACTCCACAGCACAAATTAGGAGATTTTGTGGAAAACCAGCTCCCCCCACTTTGCTCTGGGGATAATGGGATGCATGAGGTTATTATTATTATTATTATTATTATTATTATTATTAACTTTATTTATACCCCGCTAACATCTCCTGAAGGACTCGGAGCGGCTTACAAGAGGCCAAGGCCAACACATCAATAAAACAACAGTATAACAAATACAACAATAAATAAACTCATTAATCAAAACAATAACATTAAAACAATAGCAATAAACATTAGACAATAACACCACGACGCATTTAAAAACTGAGGCCGGGCCAAATGTAATGGATAATTTTTTTAAAAATGCTGGACATGACAGGTGAAGTGGATAGGTTTTTGGAGATAGGTGCGGTGTGCAGACAATCTTAAATCTCTAGTAAAGTGCATTTGGGACATGATGCTAGGAGTTTCCTATTCAGGGAAGGCACACTGGAACAGCCACATCTTCAAGCTCTTCCTAAAGTCTGCCAACGTTGGGGCTTGTCTAATATCCTTGGGGAGGGAGTTCCAGAGTCGGGGGGCCACCACAGAGAAGGCCCTGTCCCTCGTCCCCACCAAACGCGCTTGCGACGCAGGTGGGATCGTGAGCAGGGCCTCTCCATGGGTGATCCATGGGTGGGTGTCACATTGGGAGAGAATAGTTACTATTATTATTCATTTATTTATTTAGCGCCATGTATTAGGCTTTCAGTGCCAGGGCAACATAGGTTCATCTTTCTGTTGTCATTGTTGTTATTCATTTATTTATATAATGTCATGTATTCAGCTTTCAGTGCCAGGCAACATAGTTATATTTATACAGTCTTACAATTATAAATCACCTTTTGAAGGCAACCATGAAGCTGATGTGGCCCTCAGGAAAAATGAGTTTGACACCTCTATCCTAGGGTGATCAATTTTTGACCATAAATTTAAGGTTGATTTAGTTGTGACAATATTTGTGCATTTTATTATCTGTCCATGAAACCCTTTTCTTTAAAAAGGCTGCCCACTTTGTCTTTCCTCTGTCTAACTACTGGAAGGAGTGGAAGCAAGAACAGAGGAGCAACATCCTGCACTGATATAACCAGTGCAAGATCCTTATTTAAAAGTAACACCAAATTGGGTTGTTGTAGGTTTTTCCGGGTTATATGGCCTTGTTCTAGAGGCATCTTCTCCTTACGTTTCGCCTGCAACGTCAGGAGAAAATGCCTCTAGAACATGGCCATATAACCCGGAAAAACCTACAACAACCCAGTGATTCCGGCCATGAAAGCCTTCGACAATACATTAACACCAAATTGTATACATAATGAAAAAAAATATCTTGAACCAAGTGAGCAAATTACAATGCTCCAGATGTTGTTGGGCAGCAGTTCCCAACATTTCTATCCATGGACAATGTTGGTTAGGAGTGATAATAAACAAGAAGGAGATGAGCTCCATGTGCTAATTGGTGGTCAATGCTTTATTCCTTTTAAAAATAATAAATTGAGCTTAACTTTCCCTTTGATCCTCTATCCTTAAATAAAATGTATCTCAATATTTCAATCATGAAATGCTGTCAAAGATTGAATCTCTTGTTTTACCTCTTTGCTTTTTATAATCTGATAGTAAAGCATGTGATACACTAAATACTTCCATGCATCTGTTGAATTATGTGTAATATTTATATGCTTCTACAATGCTTTTTTCATTCATATCTTCACAATTCATTCCTTAAGAGTTTAGAGACATGAGCATGTTAATCTGGAACATCAGTATGCAAAGGGATCTTGAAGCGCCTTAGAGAACTTAGAGAACTGAGACAACGAAGTTGCTAGTACTCTGTGCATCTGAGGTTTGTGAAAACTCATGGTACTAATTTTATTTTCCCAATTTATAAGGTGCTATAAGATCCCTTTGCATACTGATCTCCTTAAGAATATAATACTTGTGAATCTTGATCTAATTTATTTACTTAAGAAGTGATTTTCTTGTTTCAGCTATTTATGAACTCTCTTGTGAAGCATATAAGCACTTGGGCAGAGCAACAGGTTCCTACTGGATAGATCCAGATGGCAGTGGTGCGTTGGGACCTCTGAAAGTTTACTGCGATATGACAGGTGACTATACTTATAATGACACCTTTTTCCTTTGTATATTGTCTTGTTCTTTTTTGTATTTATGTAAAGAGATAGTATAATGTTCTGAATAAAATACAGAGCTCAGACAAAAAAAAAACCTGGATTCCAGTTTCTGTTCAACTGACAATCCTGAATTGGTGAGTCTAGAAGTCTGATGACTCTCCCTACGCTTAACCATTATCGCATGGTCGCTGTGAGCACGAAGACAGGATAGCCATGTATGAAGACAGGATAGCCATGTTCTTCTGAGCTTGGCAGAAGAACGTTGTAATAACCATCCAAATAAACTAGTAAAAATACTCACTAGAGAAGATATAGCAAGGGTCAGACCTAGTTTGTGTGTACATTTGGGGGGGGGGGCATACTGGCCCTGAATTTGATGCTAGCACTTCTTGAAGTAGGGCCCCCGGTGGCGCAGTGGGTTAAAGCACTGAGCTGCTGAGCTTGTTGATCGAAAGGTCGCAGGTTCGATTCCAGGGAGCAGCATGAGCTTCCGGTGTCAGCCCTAGCTTCTGCCAACCTAGCAGTTCGAAAACATGCAAATGTGAGTAGATGAATAGGTACCGCTCCGGCGGGAAGGTAACGGCGCTCCATGCAGTCATGCCGGCCACATGACCTTGGAGGTGTCTACGGACAACGCTGGCTCTTCGGCTTAGAAATGGAGATGAGCACCACACCCCAGAGTCAAACATGACTGGACTTAATGTCAGGGGACTACCTTTACCTTTACTTAGTGAAGGTCAAACAGAGAGCCTGCATTAAGATTTCTTTCTGTAACTTTTCTTATTTCCAATTATAATGAAGCAGGCTGTTTTACATGCTGTAGAATTATTTAGCTTTAAAAATGTATCACAGTTTAATGAATGCGTATGGAGATTGTATTCGCTGTTTATTTTTGTATTTCTTGTCAAGGTTCCAGAACTTCTTTTTGTCATTTCTGTATTGCTTTTAAAGGATGTGCTTTTGTTTGTTGGTTTGTACTTATCACAGCAGGGTTAGTGTAAGCTATTGCCTCTACACAGGTCTTGACTGTATTGCAATCAGCCTCTTTCTTCACTCTCTTTCCTCAATGCACTGTTGCCCTTAGGAAACAAAGATTTCAAACAATGACCCCTGGGCATGTCACATCAAGACCTGCTTGCTTCTTGCTAATGATACTGTTTGTCAGGTTGACAGACAACATTGTTGAGAATCAAACATTCAATCCTATAAGGAGAGATATTTTTCAGAAAGTTCTTTAGTGTTTTTCCTAGCTTGTGCATTATATTTCCTTTTGATATTCCTAGTTTTTGTAAGTTTATAAAATCTCAGAATGGGTTATTTATTTCTTTATCGTGTCATCAGCAACCATACCATTGTATTACATTTCTAACAGAACAAAACAAACAAACAGATTAAAAAAAACACAAATTTTGCAAACTTGGTAGTTGATTAGATGTCCTTTGAACGGTATCTGGCCACTTAGAGTGCCTCTGGTGTTGCCGCAAGAAGGTCCTCCATTATGCATGTGGCAGGGCTCAGGTTGCATTGCAGCAGGTGGTCTGTGGTTTGCTCTTCTCCACACTCGCGTGTTGTGGATTCAACTTTGTAGCCCCATTTCTTAAGATTGGCTCTGCATCTCATGGTGCCAAAGCACAGTCTGTTCATCGCCTTCAAAGTCTTCTGTGTTCCCAGGAGGGAGTCTCTCATCTGGTATCACCCACGGATTGAGGTGCTAGGTTTGAGCCTGCCACTTTTGGACTCTCGCTTGCTGAGGTGTTCCAGCGAGTGTCTCTGTAGATCTAAGAAAACTAGTTCTTGATTTAAGTTGTTGACGTGCTGGCTCATACCCAAACAAGGGATGAGCTGGAGATGTCACTGCCTTGGTCCTTTCACTATTGGCTGCTATTTCTCGGCGGATGCCAGGTGGTACTATACCGGCTAAGCAGTGTAATTTCTCCAGTGGTGTAGGGCACAGACACCCTGTGATAATGCGGCATGTCTCATTAAGAGCCACATCCACTGTTTTAGTGTGGTGAGATGTGTTCCACGCTGGGCATGCGTACTCAGCGCAAGGGCAGATGCCTTCACTGTGTCTGGTTGTGATCCCCAGGTTGTGCCAGTCAGCTTTTGTATGATATTGTTTCTAGCACCCACTTTTTGCTTGATGTTCAGGCAGTGCTTCTTGTAGGTCAGAGCACGGTTCAGAGTGACTCCCAGGTATATGGGTGTGCTGCAATGCTCCAGTGGGATTCCTTCCCAGGTAATCCTCAGAGCTTGGGATGCTTGTCTGTTCTTAAGGTGAAAGGCACATGTCTGTGTTTTAGATGGATTAGGGAGCAGTTGGTTTTCCCTGTAATAGGCAGTAAGAGCACCTAGAGCTTCGGAGAGCTTCTGTTCAACCATCTCAAAGCTCCCTGCTTGAGCGGTAATGGCACGATCATCAGCATAGATGAATCTCTTTGTCCCTTTTGGCAGTGGCTGGTCATTTGTGTAAATGTTGAACATGGATGGAGCGAGCACGCTCCCCTGAGGCAGGCCGGTCTTCTGTTTCCGCCATCTGCTTCTCTGGCCCTGAAACTCAACAAAAAAGCTCCTGTTTTGTAGCAGGTTTCCTATGAGGCGGGTGAGGTGGTAGTCCTTTGTGATATTATACATTTTTCTCAGGAGGAGGCGGTGGTTCACAGTATCATAAGCCGCTGACAGGTCTATGAAGACAGCTCCTGTGATCTGCTGCCTTTCAAAGCTATCTTCTGTGTGCTGAGTCAGGTTCAGCACTTGCGATGTCAGAATGGGTTGACATTGAGAAATGAAACATTCAAAATTAAGTTGAAATGACATATTGCGTTCATTCATTAGGAAGATTCATAATGAATGTGATGAAAAGAGCAAAGTATGTTTTAAAGTAGGAAAGAGATCCATTCATCTCCAACTCTCCAATCAGTCTTCAGAGATTGATTCTGGAGTCTAATCATTCTTTACATTGCTGGTAATTTACCTAAAGAGAAGGGCAGGTTCACAACAATGCCACTGTTCCCATGAAAAATGAAGAACTATTTGCTTTCTCCTATTCCTGTGCCAGATGCTTTGGTAGAAAGGGTTGAGTCAGCATGAAAGAATTGGAAGCGCCATTATAAATGGGCACAGTGAGGAGTAAATTCCTGACCATTCAATCAATTCTGCTTCTCAGTTCCAAGATTCTTAAAATGAAACTGCACCACCCATGTTTTTTTTTTAATTTGCATAGTGTTTTGGATTCCTAGAAAGCCCCGTTTTTCTCATTTTTTACCTAATGAAGGTCAGAATAATCTAACACTCGTAGTATTGGGAAATACAATTGTTGTTGTCGTTCATTCATCCAGTTGTTTCCCACTCTTTGTGACCTCATGGACCAGCCCATGCCAGAGCTCCCTGTCAGCCGTCACCATCCCCAGCTCCTTCAAGGTCAATCCAGTCACTTCAAGGATGCCATCCATCCATCTTGCCCTTGGACGGCCCCTCTTCCATTTTCCTTCCATTTTCCCCAGCATCATTGTCTTCTCTACGCTTTCCTTTCTTCTCATGATGTGGCCAAAGTACTTCATCTTTGCCTCTAATATCCTTCCCTCCAATGAGCAGTCAGGCTTTATTTCCTGAAGTATGGACTGGTTGGATCTTCTCGCGGTCCAAGGCACTCTCAGAACTTTCCTCCAACACCACAGTTCAAAAGCATCTATCTTCCTTCGCTCAGCCTTCCCTATGGTCCAGCTCTCACATCCGTAGGTGACTATGAGGAATACGATTGCTTTTACTATGCGGATCTTTGTTGCAAATACAATTACATATTTGGTATTTACCAACCCCACCACCTGACCCACTCTCCATTTTCCTACGTTTGATTTGTATCATTCCTATGCATTTGTGCCTCCAATTGTCTCCACTTTCCCTACCCTGCTTGCTTCAGAAGGCAGGTTATGGCAGTTGTGCTGCCTGTGTTGCATGGCAGGGAGATAGGAAGAAAGGGGGAATAAAACATAGTGCTAGATGCTAATGGTAGGAGTAGTGATAGATGAGGGGAGAGTGAAGAGAATGTGGTAGTAATATGCAGGGCGTTCATTAAAGATTTCCCCTGACTCACTTCCTGTGCACTGAGAACAACGAAACTTGGCACAGTTATTAGTCCTTCTCTACATAGGTGCCACCTAGGAACACACACTTCTCCCTTCTTTTTAAGCAACTTAAACACTTTGCTTGTAGAAGTCGACAGGTTGCTCCAAAAGCCACTCTGTGACTTTGGAAATCAGAGTCTCATCATCTGAAAAATGCTTGCCCTTCAAAAATAAATCCATTGTTGGAAAGAGGTAGAAGTTCAATGGTGTGAGATCGAGTGAATAAGGGGGAGGCAGTAGAATTTCAAAGCCACAGGAGGATGCTTCCATTTGGGAAACAGGTGAATTGTGAACTGGTGCATTATCTTGCAGAAGGTGGACATCTTTGGTGAGCATGCCACACCTCTTAGTTTTGATAGTAAAGGTAAAGGTTTTCCCCTGACATGAAGTCCAGTCGTGTCCAACTCTGGGGTGTGGTGCACAGTGAGCCGAAAAGCCAGTGTTGTCTGTAGACACCTCCAAGATCATGTAGCTGCCATGACTGCATGGAGTGCTGTTACCTTCCCGCCAGAACAGTACCTATTGATCTACTCACATTTGCATGTTTTTGAACTGCTAGGTTAGCAGAAGCTGGGGCTGACAGCAGAAATTCATGCCACTCCCCAGAATCGAGTCTGCAAGCTTTCAGTCAACAAGCTCAGTAGCTCAGCGCTTTAACCCATTGCACCACCAGGGGCTCCTTGGTTTTGATGGCCTCCCGCAATTTCCACAACAATGAAGTATAGTATGCCCCAGTGATCTTGGTACCCTTTGCTAGGAAATCCATCAGTACTACTCCATTCTGGTCCCAAAATACTGTGAGCATGACCTTGCCTGCCACATGTTGGGCACGTGCCTTCTTTAGAGGAAGTG